TAAACTTTAGGAGGTTACAAACATATCCAGCAGCCTGCAGAGTCAAAGTCTAAAGTAGTACATTAATTTTTTAAATCAATAATATAATGAAAATTTTGTAAACAGATTTGTAAATACAAGTTACTACAACAGTAATACAGATTACAGTTATTAACAAAGTTTTTAATTCAGTACGCAAAGTTCATAATCAAACATAATCAATCAATCAATCATCTACCTGCTGATCCACTTGACAACTTTCCTTTAAAATACAGAAGTATGTTGAGAGATCTATTGTCAGGGGTTTATTTCTGATATCTGCATTTAATGCTGTACATATGTTGAAAAACAGAAACTTTCTACTTCTTTACACTTAAATGTACCATTATCTCACACACACACTCCTCTTACCTTGACACAGAACAAAGATCCATGAACAAGTGAACAAAGCCACGAATGGTGCAAATGTGAAAGCAGCCATGACAGTAGAGCTGATGAAGCTGAGATCAGACTGACTTCTTCTTTCTGCTGTGTAGTTTTTGTTTACAGTGGACCCGCCCATTTGGAAATCAACAGTGGAATGCCAGCTTGTCAGAGAGTCAGACATTTGCCTATAGAGAGAGCATATATAAAATATATCCCAAATATATTGTAGCTATGTGAAAAATATTTCTACTTGTGAATTTTTTTTCTTCTTGTACATTTAAATGTGCTAAAAATATCTGAACAAATAGATAAAATTTTTGTTACACATTAACAGAATGTGTTGTAGGTATATTCAACTGTTTGAATGTATAAATCCCAATAACCAATGGAGATGCTCGGATTAACAAGTGTCACGGCTGTCGCTGTCACCTTTGTGTTTCACTTTTTCTGTCTCACCTCTACCAAGTAGGCTGTGTCCCTGGGGAATGAAGACGCGCCTACTTCCTGGTTTCTGGGGTGCTGACATCAGTCCCGCCCATTGGTTCCCTCTGTTTCCACTCAACCAATGGCTCGTCACCACATTGATTACCTCCTCCTCATAAGGAGAGTCCACCTGTTGCTCTGGGCAGCTTGTCACCGCCTATTGACTTGTGTGCCGCTGGTATTGACTGCATACTCTGCTTGTTAGCTGTACATTGTGTTTAGTGAAACCATTTGCATACCTTTGTTTGTTAGCTCCTCATTGGGTGCAGTGGAGAAATTCACTTAGTGTTTTGTTTACTATTGTGTTAGTTTTCACCAGGTGGAGTGGGTGCTGTGCTCTTTGTGTTCTTTTGTTGCAAGAATCAACTCTGCTTAAATAGATAGGTAGGTACAGGCCTCCTTTTGAGGACCTTTTTATTTTAACTTGGTTTGTTATTTTCGCAGCACCCTCGTCCACCCTCCTTTTGTTTATTGTTACCTGTCTACATCTCTCTGTTACCAATAAAAGTTACCTTGTTAAGATCTATACCAGTTGTGCCTATATGTTTATGGCCCCCACTCCCCTAGACCAACAGGGGGGCGTAACACATGTTATTTGGAATATCAGTTTACCATCCACTCACATATCTAGGGGGGGCAGCCCTTTCTTGATCAGAGTCTCTGGCTTCATCCCCATTGGTTATTCAGTGGAATGTGTCAAATGTGGGGCAAATTAAGTTTGATAGCACTTTGTCGCTTAATAGTGAAAGATGTGGGCGCATCATCACACCACCATGGCTGAACACACGTTCAACAGGTGCACTTGATGCAGGGACTGCCATAACTCTTTTCGCCACCTTAAACAAAGAGGGGAGGGCGGGCCTGTTCATGGCCCAAAACTGAAGGTGGCTCTGTCAACACGTTCTCACTCCCACCTCGTCACATATTGATGCTTGGTCAAGGGCCTTTGTCATTGGCTTTTAATGACCTGGGTAGCCCTTTTGCGTCATTTATTGACATTTAGGGCTCCGCGGTCGAGTTAGCAACGTTTGGCAACAACAAATATACAACTTCCGGTAAAGTTAGCAACAATAAATTTGCAACGTCCAGTTACACTTTCAAAAATAAAACACTAGCGTTTCAAAACATCGCCATTTTGAAACCGTGCGTTATTGAAGTCCTGAAACATTGCAGTCTGGTTAGGTTTAGGCAACAAAACTACTTTATTAAGGTTAGGAAAAGATCATGGTTTTGGTTCAAACAACTATGTACATGAGTTAAAATGTACTTTAAATAACGTCACTTACGTCTAATTAAAAATATTTATGTTGACATTTTGTTTCACGTGGCACACGAACCCCAGCCTCCTGCTTCAAAGTCCAGGTTCTGGCCCTCCATCCACCTCAACCACTTCCTTACTCAACCTTTTCTGTTAAATATCATATACCTGCCTTTACCGTCAAAAACCGATGTTACAGGGCTTCCCCCAATACGTCGAACTGTGATTGTAAAGGCATCCCCACTGCGTCACAAACTGACAACTATGGCTCTGACCATCCGTCCATATGTGACGACTTTGGAGTGAGAACAATTTGGCTCTGTCCATCACAAATGTCCATATAGTGGTTCAGCTGAATTTCCTGTGTTTTGCATTATGCTGTAAACAGCACAGACTGACTCTCTGGCTCTGCCACTGTCATTTGGTCCTGTTCACTGGGGGTTAGAGTGGTCTTGCACACCTCTTAGAGAATCTGGTCTGATAAGCATAAACAGTAGTCACATCATGGACTCTGGTGTTGAACACTGCAAACCAACATTCATAACACATAACTGGGTTAACATAAACAACCATGTCATAATCATCACCATGGCATTAATTTGGACTCTTACCAAAAACATGACATACTTTATCACCACAGAAACATTATAGTAGCCCAATCGAGTTTTGCTATATAAACATGTAAAAACTGAAGCACAGCCTCGCACTGTTTGGGACTGTAAGCTGCGCTTTATCTAAGGTGCTGATTTAACATTTGTGTAGATTTGTGGTGAGATTTCTGCCTGATCAATACAAACAAACGGACTAAAGGTGATTGCCTACTAAGTGATGCACAGCAGGGTGTAGGGCAGTTAGACTTAAATAATATATAAATTCTTATTAAATGATGATGTTAGTCTTGTAATAATGCAACTTTTTTCTGTACATGTCAGAGAATGCAGATATGCAGACTGCAGAAACACAGGAGTTTATGACTTAGTTAAAATAAATTAATTTATCATTGAAGTGAAAAGGTGCCAAGCATTTACAGAGGTTACTTCCCCAAACAGAGAGTCAAAAGAGGAGGGAAGGCTAAGCATGAGTACTGACTCAGCAGGGACTCATAGATAGAAAACTTTGTGATTTCAAATCACAATCAGGGCTCCAACCCTGATTAAGAGAAGGGATACAGGCTACCACAGCAAAAATCCTTTCATGTAATATTCAGTTTTTGTTAAAACAGTTTAGAGGTGGATATTCATCATCATCATCATCATTTTGGAAGATGCGGTGAGTGTTTCTGTTCTAACTGTATTGTACTTCTAAATCCTACTGGCATGTTTCCCTGATCAAATATATCTGAGCCTGCTGACAGTAAACAGAAACAGTTTGAAGCTTCTTGTGTTCGGTTAAGAATATGTAAGAACAAACATGCTTGAATAAATTAAGAAAATCCCAGCCTGTAACTGAAAACACTTTAAATAACACAGTTTAGAGATTTTTAAATCGCATGCACCAGTTACTAAAAGTTACCACGTGACTGAGTAAATAAATCTTATTTACTTACTAAGTCAGGTTGATTCTCTGTGTTTGTTTTCAACCACCAGATGTCAGAAGAGTTACTCTGGAGCCAACACTAAATTTTGTTCTCTTCTCTCTTTATTTTGATATTTGTTTTGCATCTATCTTCTCCTGTAGTGTTTGTCCTAGGAACCTCATTTCAATTTCAAACTGTACTTTCTGTTCAGGAGATATGTACTTTTATTGCTGATATCTGTAATGGCTGATTTTATAGTAATATTTTTATGCATTTAAAAATGAATGGGTTTCAATGGGAACAGACAACTCAACTTTCTTCCAAACTACTCAACTTTAAGAGTACTTCATGATTCATGTCTTGCTGCACTGAAATCACAAAGCTCTTCTTTTCATCTATGGCTTATTGGAGGATTGTAAACGAACAAGTTTGCCAGTTACTGAGACACATTCAAATGCAAAACAGATCAGAAGCGAAACTCAGCCCAGCACTAAGTGCACAACTGTTGGTGAAAGAAATCAAAACCTTCATTGGGCTGTGTGTCACTGTGGGCATTTTTTCATAAATAATTAGTAGCTCTTTCAGACAAATTAAATTTAAGGGATATTAAGTAATTATAATCAATACACCTTTTGATAAGTTCAGCAAATATTTCCTTGTGGTTTGGTAGCTCTCTGTTTTGTGTGTTTTGAAAAAAAAGCACAGCCCTGGTTCTGTCTCCATAACATTGTTCCAGCAACATGTGGCGTCAGTGTTGGTGCACAGGAGAGATGGGAGGGGGCAATGGGAGTTCAAAACACTGGCACATTCGAGCGTGCTGGACTCCAGGCACTGTGAAAAACAAGAGATGTTTGAGAAACAGCCAAAAAGCAAAAGGTCGAAAGAGGATTAGAGAAGAAAGTTATGTGACCAGGCAACAGCGAAGGCGTTTCAAAGATGGAGAAACCTTAGAGAACTTTGGGGGACGGGACATAGGGGCAAGGTGACCGAGGGGGGCGTCTGACCCCACTGGACGGGGGCCAAACATACTAATCTAGCATACTTTAACCAAAAATTATAAAAATCTTTCTCTCTCAACAATTGCATACGTTATCTTAAGGCTCCCCTTAATGTAAATATACTTATATCAAAAGAATTGAACACAATTTTTAAAAAATTACTATGTATTATTACTAAATAATAATATTAAAACTAAAATTACTGATTATTTTAAATGGCATTTAAATTAGATCAACTCAAAGAACTTTTGATAAAACAGAGGGCATTTTTAGGTCAGTGAGACTAGGGGCAGCCAGAAGAAATGTTGTGACAGTTTTTTAGAGTTACCATGAAGGGGCGTTTAAGTACAGGGGGCGTCTTACCTTAGGTTACTGTACATTTCCTGCAGAAAAGTACAAAGGAAACGGTGGTGTGAACTTATAGGGCGTTTGATCTCACATAACCAAGTGCTGCAATGGGACAAACATCTCTTCAATGGGTTATCTGTAAGTACGATTTGTTCTGTCTAGAATTACACAGTTAGCAGGTGTGCTGAGTTGGAGAAGAACAAAGATGAGATACGGGATCATATTATAAAAAAATCTGATATTGTAGAAATATCTTAAAGACAGAAGAGTGTATTGATCACTGTGGGCCAAACAAGCATTAAAGGAAATTTCAGAACGAGCTATAAGTTACTGAGATTACAGAGAAATGTGACGAGCAAACAGAATTTAAGAGCAGGAAGTGAAACTTCAACTTTAAACTGGATGGTAAATGGTTAATGTGAGTTTCCTGGAATGAGCTGCAGTGTTGGTTAGTTAGTTTTAGTTATCTAAGAGGATTAGTCGTCCAGGTCCAGGATGCCCAGACGTACTAATGCAAAGTAACTGGCTTCACTGTGTGTTTGTTCTGTGTTGCCTTCAGGTTCAACAGAAAAGTCTGTGTTATTCTCATTCTCATTGTAGATGTTCTGACTCTGGCTCATGCTAACTTTGCACTCAGCTCCACCATGTAGAGATGAATAAGTTCTGTAGAACATGTGTTCTTAAACCTGATGCAGGTGACAAAGACTCAAACACACACTGATGTTAAAGCTGGAAGATACTGTGAGTGTTCAGTGAGGATCAGGGTCTCCATCTTCTCTGAGGTGTACAGTTGTTGTGTCTGCAGTAAAACCTCAAACCAACCTGAGTGTGATTTCTCTTTAGTTCTGACCTCACTGCTGTGCTGCACAACAAATCAAGGTGAGTAAACTCCTTCTGCCAGCGTCTGAAACTCACTGTCACACAAACCCTGATAGAAAAGTCAGTGTTGAGGACACAGCTGGAGGATTTAAGAGTTCAGGCTGATGATGATACTGTCACATCCCGGCTCATTGAATGTGACAATAAGGGGAAGACCAAGCAGGTTAAAGTGCCAAAAAGAATGTTTTATTAAATATACTATAAACAACATAACTATTTACAACAGAGAAAACGTGATTATCAGGAATGCATGGATGAGTGAAAATGTATGATCGAAGGTTGACGGCAACTCAGGAAACAAACCCAAACCAGGAGATGTGGAGCCTAGGAGAGAGAGACAGACAATGAGACAGGGTGATACAGGTGCTGATCATATAATTAGAATATCATCAAAAAGTTGATTTATTTCAGTAATTCCATTCAAAAAGTGAAACTTGGATATTATATTCATTCATTCCACACTGACTGATATAGTGTTCAGTTTTGATGATTATAACTGACAACTAATGAAAATCTCAGACACGTAGAATATTACTTAAGATCAATACAAAAAAAGGATTTTTAGAAATGTTGGCCAACTGAAAAGTATGAACATGAAAAGTATGAGTATGTACAGCACTCTTATTACTTAGTTGCAAAAAATAGATTTTTTGGAAGCAAATAAGAATCACAAACGAATTACGGATTATCCAATGATGGTCAGACCGATAGTGCTCCTTTTACTGGTGACTTTCAATTTCAATTTTAAGACCTTAATTCCAGAGGGGCAATTAGTTTTGCTTTAAGAATTACATGCAGTAAATGACGACAATGACAACAACATCAATTAAAAACACAGGGTCAGACATAGGGGTAAATAAATAACACAAGATTCAAATTTTAAGTTCAAGCATGCCCTACGTGCAGACATTACCTATTCTTCACAGAGTTAAGCAGAGAGATAGCAGAGGGTACGGAGGAGAATTTATATCTTTTTCTTTTGGGTGGTGGCTGACTGAAGCGGGAACCAGAAGGCAGCATCTTAAATTCTGCATGCAGGGGGTGAGAACTATCAGACATGATGGATTCTGCCTTTTTAAGCCCATGTCTATTGTACAGTTCAGTTAGTTTTATCTGCTGAATCCTGATGATTTTGCTGATAATTTTATTTACAATTGCTAATGTGTTTTTCCGTTTTAAACTAAGAGAAGCATACCAGCAAATACATGAAAAAGTAAAGACGTACCCAATAAAATATTTATAAAACAATGTCATCAGGGATCTGTCTACTTGATACTTAGCTAGCCTTCTCAGACAGAAGAGACGTTGCTGACTTTTCTTACTGAGCATGTCAGATACTTGTACGACTCAACAATTTCAACCTCTTTTCCATCTATTATCGTCTTTTCAGGAGTTGGATGGTGACGTCTAAAATCAATGCACATGTCCTTCGTCTTTTTAACATTTCACACAAAAGGTTTCTTTGCACCGGTTTAAAAAATAGTTCAGTACAGGGTCGTGAGATGTTTCAGTGGTGTCCATTAAACTTATTATGACTGTGTCATCTGCAAACTTTACGATACAGTTATTCGTCTGTTCACTACGGCAGTGTTAGTGCACATAATGTATAACAGAGGAGAGAGAACACAGCCTTGAGGGGAGCCGGTTGATGTCACTGATATTCCAGAAAGATGTCCATTTACTCGCACTCTCTGTGTCCTGTTAGTGAGACAGTCCAAAGTGCAGCCCACCAGGTTGCAGTCCAACCCGAAATCTTCTATGAGCTTCTGCACCAATAAATGGGGCTGGATGGTGGCAGACGAAAAATCCACAAAGAGCAGTCTGGCATGTTTTTTTTTTACCCTCTAAGTGCTTGTATATGGGGTTGAGCAGATTTATGGTAGCGTCCTGCACCCCCATGTTGGCTCTGTATGCAAATTGCAGGGGGGTTGAGGAGGTGTTTAATCCTACCCAGCAGTTCTTTCTTTATCAGTTTTTCAACGGACTTAATAACTAATGGAGTTAGAGCCACAGGTCTGTAGTCATTCAGAATTTTGGGGTGGTTGCTTGCGATGGGAATAATTGTAGATTGTTTGCATAAGTTTGGGACTTGGCACAAAGACAGGTTAAAAATATGATAAAAAAAATGAAGCCTTATTGATCCACACAATGTGTAAGCATACGGCTGCTAATTTTGTCAGGGCCAGGGCTTGTACAGGACTTGCTTTGTTTGAAAGTGTTCACAACATTGCGGTCGGGAAAAAGAGGAGTAAGAAGACCAGAGTTAATTAGACTGTCCCTTAATGCACGCGTTTCTTTACAAAATCATGGACATCGAACCTAGAATAAAACTTGTTAAACTCCTGTGCCAGAGCAGAGTCTGCCGTAAAAACTTCTAAAAATATATTTTTCCTTAATTTGTCATAAAGTCCAACAATATTCTTGCCAGTGTCCCAGGCTGAGCCCAAATTATTATTACTTAGTTGTCTTTCTACCTTATCTTTGTAATCCAGTCTACACCTCTTTATTTCCTGTTTGATCTCTTTTTGTATAGAATTTAGTTCATTGACACTGCCCTGTTTAAAATCATGTTTTCTCTTATTTAACAGGAGTTTAGGTTGTTTGCTCACCCAGGGTTTATTGTTGGGGTAAATCTTTACCTCTCTGTTCAGAATTACAGTTTCTTCACATTATGAGATCCAGGAACTGACAACATTTGTGAGCTCATCCAGGTCCCTAGATTATGTAATGAACTCCTCCCACACTGTACAGTCCAGGCAGCCTTGCAGTTCTTGTACAGCATCTTCAGACCAAAGCTTCACCCTTTTGGTGAGAACTTTCCCCCTCTGTAAACATGTGCGATATGCAGGAATAAGATGTACACAATTATTGTCTGCTGTACCAAGTGGAGGGAGCGGTATGGATTTATAGGCCCCTTTAATTGAACCATAGCATTGATCAAGTGTCTTGCCATTTCTGGTAGGGCAAGATATATATTTATAAAAGCCTTTTAAGGATTTGTTCTGTGAGCAGTGATTAAAATATCCCAGGATTACATTGGGGGCATCAGGAGACAGTGACTGTAACTTCTGCACAGTCTGGAGCATCAGTTCTGAGATGGAGCGGAGACTAAACACACTTTAACACGTCACGAATGGAAAGTGAAAGTATTTCTGCAGCTTCGGGTCACACAGGCTGTTTTCCAACACGCCCAGTGATGCAGTGTGCAGAACTGGAACTGAGTAACATTAGTAGAACAACCTGAAACAGAAAAGGTTTTTCCCTGATGTTGTAGATGTTTGAAGTTAATGCACAAATTAACATTATCTTGTTAAATCTACCTTCCTCTTTCCTTGTCTCTCTGCCTCTCCTACAACTACAGATCTACAACTGACAATACATACTAGTAAGAGCAGCAATAAATACTAGTAAGAGCTCACAGTACATATCACATCAATGGGGTAGATACCTAGGGAAGGAAGTAAGAGTTAGCAAAAAGTGCAATCAAAGCAAAAAGTGCAATCAATACAAGATCATTGTAGGGGATAGAAGAAGAAGAGCACAGGAAGTGCATGTTAGAGGTTAGGAGTTAGAGGCTTTATAAGAGTAAGTGTTCTCGGAAGAGATGAGTTTTCAAGAGCTTCTTGAAGTTAGAGAGGGACGCCCCTGCTCTGATGACGTGTGGTAGCTCCTTCCACCATCGTGGTGTCACAGATGAGAACAGCCGGGACTGGGATTGCTTTGTGTGAAGGGATGGCAGAGCCAGGCGGCGTTCGTTGGAGGAGCATAGCGGCCGAGAAGGAACGCAAGTTTGTATTATGGAGTTAGATTGGTGCAGACCCAGTAGTCACTCTGTATGCAAGCATTAGTGACTTGAATTTGATTCTGGAGGCCACGGGGAGCCAGTGGAGGTCACTGAGTAATGGAGTGACATGAGTCCTTTTGGGCTGATCAAAAACCAGACGCGCTGCTGCGTTCTGAACCATTTGTAAGGGTTTCACTGCACAAGCTGGAAGACCTGCTAGGAGGGCATTGCAATAGTTGATGCGAGAGATAACCATGGCCTGTACCAGAAGCTGGGTGGCGTACTGAGTGAGGTAGGGCCTGATTTTCCTTATGTTGTATAGAGAAAAGCGGCACGACTGAGAGACAGTAGCAACATGGTCTGAAAAGGACAGCTGGTCATCAATCATGACACTCAAGTTTCAATTCAATTCAATTCAATTTTATTTATATAGTGCCAAATCACAACAACAGTTATCTCACAGCGCTTTTCATAAAAGAGCAGGTCTAGACCATACTCTGTGATGATATTTACAGAAGCCCAATAGTTCCCACCAAGAGCAAGCACTAGGCGACAGAGGCAAGGAAAAACTTCCTTTTAAGAGGCAGAAACCTCGAGCAGAACCATGGCTCAGGGTGGGCGGCCATCTGCCTCGACCGGTTGGGGAGGGAGAGAGAGAGAGAGAGAGAGAGAGAGAGAGAGAGAGAGAGAGAGAGAGAGAGAGAGAGGAGGGAGGCAGCCTACACAATATACACACAGAGGTACAGACAGTGAAGGTAATGTTGCTATAGACTAAATGAAAAATGGTACAGATATTTATAATAGTGTTAATGGTAACCATTGTAAGGTTAATGATTATAATAACAATAAGACTAGCAACAATAGTCGTTGCAGTAGAGGGTGTCGAGCAGGAACACAGGGGCAGCAGGTGACCCGCAGCCACAGATCCAGACTCCACAGCTCCAGAGCCAGAAAACCTGCAGGAAGTGATAGGAGAGAGGAGAGGGACGAGAAAGCACAAGACTACCAGAAAGGGGAGAAGTTGTGTTAGTAACATGCAATAATGGGATAAGGTTGCATACAGAGGGAGAGAAAGTAGAGGAGAGAGGAGCTCAGAGCATCATGGGAAATCCCCCGGCAGTCGAGGCCTATAGCAGCATAACTAAGGGATGGTTCAGGACTACCGAGCCAGCCCTAACTATAAGCTTTATCAAAGAGGAAAGTCTTAAGCCTACTCTTAAATGTGGAGATGGTGTCTGCCTCCTGAACCCAGACTGGAACCTGGTTCCACAGGAGAGGAGCTTGATAGCTGAACGCTCTGGCTCCTAGTCTACTTTTGGAGACTCTAGGAACACAAGTAACCCTGCATTCTGGGAGCGCAGTGCTCTGGTGGGGTAGTAAGGTACTATGAGCTCTTTAAGAGAAGATGGTGCCTGACCATTAAGAGCTTTGTAGGTAAGAAGAATGATTTTAAATTCTATTCTGGATTTTACTGGAAGCCAATGCAAAGAAGCTAAGACAGGAGAAATGTGATCTCTTTTCCTGGTTCCTGTCAGAACACGTGCTGCAGCATTCTGGATCAGCTGAAGAGTCTTAATGGACTTTTTCGAGCAGCCTGATAATAAGGAATTGCAGTAATCCAGCCTAGAAGTAACAAATGCATGGACTAGTTTTTCTGCATCATTTTTAGACAGGATGTTCCTGATTTTCGCAATATTACGTAGGTGAAAAAAGGCGTCCTTGAAATTTGCTTAATGTGAGACTTAAATGACATGTCCTGATCAAAGATAACTCCAAGATTCCTCACAGTGGTGCTGGAGGCCAAGGCGATGCCATCCAGGGAAACTATATCTTTAGATAATGCATCACGGAGGTGCTTAGGCCCCAGAGCAATAACTTCAGTTTTATCTGAGTTTAACATGAGAAAATTACAGGTCATGCAGGTTTTAACATCCTGAAGGCACATTTGAAGTTTAGCTAACTGATGAGTTTCATCTGGCTTGATCGATAGATATAACTGAGTATCATCTGCATAACAATGAAAGCTTATGGAATGTTTCCTGATAATATTGCCTAAAGGAAGCATATATAAAGTGAAGAGGATTGGTCCAAGGACAGATCCTTGAGGAACTCCATGAGTAACTTTGGCGTGCATGGAGGACTCATCGTTAACATGTACAAACTGAAATCGATCTGATAAATAGGACTCAAACCAGCTTAGAGCGGTTCCTTTAATGCCAATGAAATATTCCAGTCTCTGCAATAGGATCTGATGGTCAATGTATCAAATGCAGCACTAAGATCTAATAAAATCAGTACAGAGACAAGTCCTTTGTCTGATGCAATAAGGAGGTCATTAGTAATTTTCACCAGTGCTGTCTCTGTGCAATGATGAGCTCTAAATCCTGACTGAAAATCCTCAAATAAACTATTGCTCTGTAGAAAGTCACACAGCTGTTTAGCAACTGCTTTCTCCAGAACCTTAGAGAGAAATGGAAGGTTAGATATAGGTCTATAGTTGGCTAAACATCCGGATCAAGTTTGGGCTTTTTCAGAAGAGGTTTAATTACAGCTACTTTAAAGTACTGTGGTACATAGCCTGTTGATAAAGATAGATTGATCATATCTAGTATAGAGGTGCTGACTAAGGGTAAAACATCTTTAAGCAGCCTAGTCGGGATGGGGTCTAAGAGGCAGGTTGATGGTTTAGATGAAGAAATTATTGAAGTTAGTTGGTAAAGATTGAGGGAAGCAAAACAGTCTAAACATGTATCTGGTTCTACAGCTGTTTCTAAGGTTCCTGAGTTAAGAGATAAGTCGGTGCCAATTGAGGGCAGGTCTTGGTGAATTTTGTCTCTAATAGCTAGAATTTTATCATTAAATAAGCTCATGAAATCGTAACTACTGAGAGCTATGGGAATACTTGGCTCTATAGAGCTGTGACTCTCTGTCAGCCTGGCTACAGTGCTGAAAAGAAACCTGGGGTTGTTCCTATTTTCCTCTATTAATGACGAGTAGTACGCTGCTCTGGCATTACGGAGGGCCATCCTATAAGTTTTAAGACTATCTTGCTAAATTAAACGAGAATTTTCCACTTTGGCGGAACGCCAATTCCTCTCAAGTTTCCGTGATATTTGCTTTAATTTGCGAGTTTCAGTATTATACCATGGAGCTAACCGTCTTTGTTTTAATATTTTCTTTTTTAGAGGGGCTACAGAGTCGAGTGTCATTCGCAGCGAGCCTGCAGCACTATCAACAAGATGATCGATTTGGGAGGGACTGAAATTAGCATAGGAGTCCTCCGTTACTTGTGACTAGATAATGTATTTAGAGCTGATGGAATCGCATCCTTAAATTTAGCTATAGCACTATCAGACAGACATCTTGTATAGAAATTTTTGCCCAATGGCAGTAGTTCAGCAATACAAACTCAAAAGTTATCAAACAGTGGTCGGATAAAGAGGGATTCTGTGGGAACACCACTAAATGTTCAATTTCAATACCATACACCAAAACAAGGTCGAGGGTGTGGTTAAAACAGTGAGTCGGTTCATGAACACTCTGAGAGAAGCCGATGGAATCTAAGAGAGATAAACGCAGTACTGAAGCTGTCATTATCAACATCCACATGAATATTAAAATCCCCTACAATAATAACTTTGTCCGTTTTAAGGACTAAAGTTGACAAAAACTCTGCAAATTCAGATAAGAATTCAGAATACGGGCCAGGTGCTCAGTACACTATAACAAAAAGAATTGGTTGCAGTGATTTCCAACTTGGGTGCGAAAGACTAAGAACAAGACTTTCAAATGAGTTATAGTTTAGTTTAGGTTCAGAGCTGATTGGTAGGCTAGAGTCGAAGATAGCTGCAACTCCACCTCCTCGGCCTGTGCCTCGAGGAATGTGAGTATTAATATGACTGGGAGGGGTGGATTCATTTAGGCTAACATATTCTCCATCACCCAGCCAGGTTTCAGTAAGACCAAATAAATCAATATCATAATCTGATATTAGTTCATTTACTAGTACACCTTTAGAAGAGAGAGATCTGATGTTTAAGAGTCCACATTTAACTCTCCTATTCGTTTGCACTATTGCTCTTGTGGTTTTAATTTTTATGAGGTTTTTATGCACAGCTCCTCTTCTGTTTACCTTTTTAAATAATTTCGATGGTCGGGGGGCAGACACCGTCACTATAGGATTTTCACTAAGTAACTCCTGAAATGGAGGAGCAGAGAAGTGTGTTAGACTGCGACTCTGCGTAGGGTTTTGGGTGGGTAACTGCTGAAAAAGAAGGGCAGAGAAGTGTGTTAAACTGTGACTCTGCCTCCTGGTCTCAACTCTGGGTTGTCATGGATTTGGTCCACTAATAAACTTGGCCAGATTTCTAGAAATGAGAGCTGCTCCTTCCCAAGTGGGATGGATGCCGTCTCTCCAGATCAGACCAGGTCTTCCCCAGAAAGTCTGCCAATGATCAACAAAGCCCACATCGTTTGCTGGATACCACCTCGACAACCAGCGGCGGAATGACGACATGCGGCTATACATGTCATCACTGGTCAGATTTGGCAGGGGTCCAGAGAAAACTACGGTGTCCGACATTGTTTTTGCATATGTACACACCGACTCAACATTAATCTTTGTGACCTCCGATTGGCGTAACCGGGAGTCATTACCGCCGACGTGAATAACAATCTTACTGTATTTACGTTTATCCTTAGCCAGCAGTTTCAAATAAGACTCAATGTCGCCCGCTCTGGCCCCAGGGATGCACTTAACTATGGCCGCTGGCTTCGCTAAATTCATGTTTCTCAAAATGGAGCTGCCAATGATCAGAGTTGGTTTCTCAGCGGGTGTGTCGCTGAGTGGGGAAAATCTGTTAGAAACGTGAACAGGTTGACGATGCCCCGTGGACTTTGAATGCTTTCGACTATTCCTCCTTCGGACAGTCACCCAGCCCCCCCCCCCCTTTCCTGGCTGCCATTACCGCTAAAGGAGGCAGAGGAGTAACTAAACATCTGACACACCGAGCAGGAGAAAGTAGGAGAGAGAGAGGGGAGAAGGAGAAGCCATCGCTAGCTGCTAAGCTAAAGTCGCTAACGGCTAAGCTAAATTACTGTAGCGTCAGCTACCAAAACTTTAGAACAACTATGAGATTGAACAGCTGTCACTAAAAGGTGGAAAGAACTGTGAGTGCTTAGGCAAAATTACTGTAAAGAATAAGTGTTTAGCGAACAGTTGGCCGCTGTAATCAAACAAATGTAACTGTTATTTAGCGAGAGCAGCACAACACGGTACCAACACACAAGCACCGGAAACGGAAATGAGTCGACACGCTTACCGCAATACGTCAGCAGATGGTTGGAGTGATGGTTGCGGAGTCAATTTGTAGTTTGATGCTATGGTGGATAGATTGCTTGGCTGGAATGACCAAGAGTTCAGTCTTAGAGAGGTTTAGCTGAAGGTGGCAAACCTTCATCCATGCAGATATGTCTGATAGATAGTCCGTGATCCGCGCCAAGACAGTGGGATCGCCTGGCGGGAAGGATAGGTAGAGCTGCGTGTCGTCTGCGTAGCAGTGGTAAGAGAAGCCATGCGAGCGAATGATCGGCCCCAGTGAAGTGGTGTAAATTGAGAAGAGAAGGAAATTATCACATTATAAAGTATTGTCTTCCCTCCAGCCCTGCTCAGTAGCTGTGTTTAGTTTCATTGCAGTGTGCTCTTTAGCACTCAGAGATCTCCCTGCTGACCATAGGGTGCCTCTGTGCACCAGCAGTTTCAAACTCAGCCTTCAGTCTTTGGACCATGCCTCCTTATTTGCATACACTCCTCAATCCCAAATGCCCACTCCTAAATGCTATATAAACTTAATTCAAATTTACGAAGACATGATTGGAAAAACTAAATGTACAATTTCTACCAGGATCACAGTTATGGCAGTTGGTTGACAGATGGTGAGTTAAGACACCTGAACTTTATCAATGGCTTCAGTCTCTAGAAACACGTTTGGGTTTCAACCTTTCTTCCAGAGTTCATTTAGTGTTTTATAATCCCCTCCAGCCTCTCTGTCTGTGAGTCCCAGCTGCTCTCAGCATTTTGAAGGAGAGTTTATCTCTCTGAGCTGTAAGGAGGATGACAGCTCTGCTGGATGGACGCTGAGGAGGAACACAACCAGAGAAACCAGGACTCAGTGTGGAGCTGACTGGGGAAGATCAGCTGCTTCTTCCTGTAACATCAGCTACTTCGACCCATTGGACAGTGGAGTGTACTGGTGTGAGTCCAGAGAGGGAGCAACCAGTAACACCATCGACCTCACTGTCCCTGGTAAGATCAGACTGTGGAGTTAGTGTTGATGAAGCTGCGTGTAAATGATGAAATGCTGTAGTTTGTCTCTGTGTTGAGGTGGACCAGTGATCCTGCAGAGTCCTGTCCTCCCTGTGATGGAGGGACATGATGTCACTCTGCACTGTAAAACAGAGACCCCTTCCTCCAACCTCCCAGCTGGTTTCTATAAAGATGGCTCCCTCATCAGGACTGAGCCTACAGGTCACATGACCATCCACCATGTGTCCAAGTCTGATGAAGGCCTCTACAAGTGTAACATCAGCGGTCGTGGAGAGTCTCCATCCAGCTGGATCTCTGTCACAGGTGAGGAGGTTACCTTTGATTTCAGGACTTATTTCATCCAGAGAGTCATCTGACCAGGTGGGATTCTCTCTACAGATAAACCTACAACCACAGCCCCGCCCACATCTGGAGCTCCACCCCCTGCCTTAGGTCCCCTCCAGCTTGTATTCAGACTGGTCTGCTACCTATTGGTGTTTGCCTGTGCTACATCTCCACTTTCCACTGCATTTATGTCAAGACAGGCCCACAGGTAACACTCGGAATCATCAGACCGTTCTCATCTCAGGGTGTCCAATACCAACGCTTTCAGAAAAAGTGACAAAGCGTAATTATTTAACGCTAAAGCTACCCTTCAACGTCTCTGTGAGAAGATCTGGGAAGTCACTTCCTCGTACAGACCGGAAGTGCTAGCTAGCTAGCCCCCTACCCATACCATAACCAACAGAAATGTTACTTCTAAGTCACCGACTTTATGCATGTCAACCTGCTAACCCTCCTTTGTGTTGCTGCGACGCAGCAAACCGTGCCATTTCATATGCATGCTGAAGGGTACTTTTAGCGTCAAATACTTTGCATTGTCACGCTGTTTGAAAATGTCAGTTATGATGCACTGAGATGAGAATGTGGTGAAATCATTCACTGAACTTACATAGACCATATTCAGAGGGATATTAAGTGATTCTAATCAATACACTTTTTGTTAAATCTGGCATTTCCTCGCTGTTTGCTAGCTCTCCATTTTGTGTGTTCCGAAAAAAAATCCATTTTTCCTACACAGCCCTGGTTCTGTAAATGGAAAACACGGAAGGTGGTGTGGATCTTCCCCACAACACTGTTACAGTCAATCAGCAGCAGGTGGCGTGAGTGCTCGTGCACAGGTGTGATGGGAGGGGGCAATCGGAGTTCAAAACACTGGCACATTCGAACATGCTGGACTCCAGGCACCGTGAAGAAGGAGAGATGTTTGAGAAACAGCCAAAGAGGAAAAGGTCGGATGAGTATAATTAGAGAAGAAAGGCAACAGCGAAGGTGTTTCAAAGATGGAGAAAATTTTGAGAAGTTTGGGGGGCGGAGCTATTGTGAGAGCACCGCAGAGAGAGGTGTATTTGTTTGGCTGTTGAGTTCAAATATTAACAATCTTTCTGCAGAATCACTTACTCTCCCTTTAATAAATCAATCAATGTACAATCTATTGCAAAATGCATCGTTACAGTTAGTGTTGATTGTTGTTATTTATAATGTAGTAGTGTTGATACTTTTGCCTCTTTGTTTATCTAAATGTTATTATCAACTCCCCTGACAGTAACAGCACATCCTCAACAGAAAAAGGTTGATAGTTTAAGCAACTTAGACACTGAGAAGACAGAGGTATATTTAGTGAGGGTTTATAAAAACGAACAGGTGCATCTTACAGGTGAGGTGAGGGGAGGTTGGCAGTGCAAAAACATAACAGAGTAATCCAAATGGTGATCAAGATCATGATTTTAACTAACACTATGACCTTTTTCCTAAACCTTAGTTTAGGTAACGTACTTAAGGTCTGTTAAGCCTGTCGACCTATTTTGTCATTTAGGTGTGAAGACCTCTCACCCATCTCCATACCAACAGCTCAGGAGAGACCGGCTGAGGATTTTGAGTACATGCACTGTGCATCACTTCTGAGTTGCAGCAGAGCTTTATGACCAGCTGAGCAGCAGAAAATACAGAAGTTAAACCACTGGTTTAAGTCTGAATTGTTCCTTTACTGCTAGAGACAACTATCTTCGTAATTCTGAACATTTTGAATTAACTTTTGTTTGTTTCTTTTAGTACTTGTACCTGATGTCTCTGCTGCGCAAGATTTACTGCAGATTATTCAAATGGAAAGTTTTGTAGTGCTAACAAAGTGAGGCATCCTTTGTAGTCTTTGCATGCTTCTACTTCAGAGTTTCTACAGATAACTAGGTCACCACAATTTTATAGAACAATCTCTTCAATCTGAGCCTCTGTTCTGGTTGGTAAATCTGTTTTCAAACAGTCACAAGGAGTCAAGGCCCCACAAGGTAAAACATGACACGATTCTTCAGGACTATGCTATGTTAGTGTTTAGATCAGGCTAATAATGAAGGCTAAAATCAAAGTTGTCTGTATGTAGTCTGTGTGGCTTAATTTGCCATTTATCGTAAAATTTAGCAAATTCTTGTAAACAGCTGCCTAGTGTTGTAGTCAAGACCGCCCAAACTGAGACCAAGTCAAGACCAAGAACAGAGTTTATTGAGACCAAGACTTTTAGGGGCTGAGAGCAGTCGAGACCAAGACCAGTTCCCTGCATTGCACAGCATGCTGTGGAACGAGATCATAGCTACTTCTCAAAGAAACATACAAACATTAAAAGCTGAAATCAACATAAGTATCGCGGGGAGGGGTGACAGTCGTTAACGGGAATAACACATGTTTAATTAGGGTTATTGGTTGCATTTGAAGCAATAAGTTTTATTTATGTTAGGATGTTAACAAATCAGACAATGCAAAAGCAATTTATTGATATTCCCAAAGTTATGGTCTTGACTGGTCTTGAAATAAAATCCAGAGTCCTCGATGTCCGAGACCGAGACAAGACCAAGTACAAAGGAGGTCGAGTCTGAGACGAGACCAAGACCATCAAAAAGTGGTCTTAAGACCTGTCTTAAGACCAAGACCAGTCTCGAGTACTACAACACTACTGCTGCCTGAGACAAACAAGCCCCTCAACAATTGAGCGTTCACTTATGTAGCTCAAAGTTTCTCTTGTGCTGGAAGAGCATTTTCTCTGAAGTAGGAGCTAAAAACTCCCTGAAAATTAGTTCTAATAACTGTGAATGTTCCATGTTGCAATACGGACACAGTAAATAGTACATTGAAATCATTAGAATCAAGTCTAGAAAGAGGTTCAACAGTCAGTACAGATGATCCATACTCCACATTCATCAGCCTTTTTCCCTTCATCTATTATTGTTTCAATAAACCTTTTACTAAAACATCTCCCTCTGAGTCTGTGTCTGCTTTTGGGCGTGTAAAAAACAAAATCTCAACACAATGTGAAACATTTTTTATTATCTTAAATTACATTTTTGTAAATATTTGATTATATCTTTTCAAGTGACAACACTGAAGAAATAACACTTTGCTACAATGTAAAGTAGTGAGTGTACAGCTTGTATAACAGTGTAAATTTTCTGTCCCCTCAAAATAACATCACACAGCCATTAATGTCAAAACCGTTGGCAACAAAAGTGAGTACACCCCTAAGTGAAAATGTCCAAATTGGGCCCAAAGTGTCAATATTGTTTGCCAACCATTATTTTCCAGCACTACCTTTATCCTCCTGGGCGTGGAGTTGCCACACGACAGCAAATCACCACAACACTCTGTCAGAGTGCAAATGTTAGTTTTGGTTGTTTGACTACGTCATCAACAAGCACGCAGCCATGTTGTGATAACGGATAGTGTGTGGAAAAATAAGGAAAATAGATGAGTTCTGTGTCTTTTAGGCAACTTTATAAAAAATACTGCTGATGGAGAAATCACAATCACGATGCCGGCTCAACAGCATAATGTCTGTCAGCCACCGCCAATGGACATCGTCTATCGGCCCAACCCTAATTTCTGATTAAAAAGTGTGATTTGTTGATAACTACCTTAATTTTCTAAGAACGTATGTGAGGGTGTGAAATTGTCTGTAAGAAGGGAGCTGATAGTGCTGACTAGTTAGAGACCAGTACATCATATATCAACCGTGCAAGTACATTTCCTGCCAACTGCAGCAGAGGAAAACAGGCAGTAAAGTACAAAGGAGACTGTGGTTTGAGCTTTTCTAAGTGAAAAATTCAGTGTGTGATCTCACATCACCAAATGGTACGATGGGACAAACATCTCTTCATTGGCTTTTCTGTAAGTACGATCTGTTGTGCCCACATTTCATACGGGATCATATTATAAAAAATCTGATCTTATAAAAACATCTTACAAAGACAGAAGAGTTTATTGATCAGTGAGGCCAAAACAAGCAATAGAGGACAGAGAGAGTCAGAAGTTACTGAAATTACAGAGAAATGTGACGAGCAAACAGGAAAGAAGATCATTTTTTAACAGTTTGTTCAGAAAATGTTCTCACTTCACTTTAATACAACCTTTAAGAGCAGGAAGTGAAACCAGCTTTAAAATGTTAAAGGGACAAAGACAGAAACACACAGTGATGTTAAAGCTGGAAGATACTGTGAGTGTTCAGTGAGGATCAGGGTCTCCATCTTCTCTGAGGTGTACAGTTGTTGTGTCTGCAGTAAAACCTCAAACCAACCTGAGTGTGATTTCTCTTTAGTTCTGACCTCACTGCTGTGCTGCACAACAAACCAAGGTGAGTAGATGGCACCTGTTCAGTGCATTAAGAATTGCTCACCTGGCGCATTTGCCCTAAAATGTCTTGCTTCTGGGTTTACTTCTGGGGTTTGCGGCCAACTTCGTTCTCAGCTAGAGGAAAGTTTTTTAACTTTTCATAATTGAAAGACTCATAATTGACCTTGTTTGCAGTTCTGGGTTCCTCACAACAGTTTTACAGACAACTCTTTCAGAATGGTGGCCTATAGGAAATGTTTTGTGGGTGGCAGGTGACTGGAAGCAAGAATGGGTAGTGGTGCCGTGTCCAGGTTTTATTATACAGTACAACAGCATAAAACCCAAATATCAGAAATAAACAGATGTGATAACCGACCTTTCAACAAAACAAATATTTACAGTTTTTAGTACTGAAGTATAGAAATTTGAGAAGTAGATCAACAGATTGATTAATGCCTTTTGATTATGCTGATTTATGAGTTTATTTTACGCTACATGATCATTAGGAGAGAAATACAGAAACTTCCTGAATTATCTTTATTAATAATTTTAATAACTGTAGTCTGTACAGCTATTACTTTTTAATCCATATATCATAAAATGGACTAGAATTTTCTCTTCGTCTAATACTTTTGTTGTCAAAAAGCCAGTACTTATTATTATAATGTCTTTTATTTTATTATTGATTCAAATAGGCTAAACACTGTCTTTGTAGAATCTGACTCTGTAGGCTGTTGGATATGTTTGTAACCTCCTAAAGATCTGTTTTTAATCAGATCAACATGAAGTGAATGCAAAGCTTGGAGAGGACGCCACTCTTCCCTGTCGGGGTCACGGAAATGCTACCATAGAAGTGATAAAGTGGAACAGAACTGACCTGAAGTCAGGTGATATTTATGTCTTCTTCTTCAGAGACGGCAGCTCAAATGAAAACATCACGCATGAATCTTATCGTGGTCGAGTGGAGCTGAGAGATCAAGAGATGAAGGACGGAGACGCTTCTGTGATTCTGAAAAACGTCACCTTCAACGACACTGGAACATATGAGTGTCGGGTTAGAGAGGAAAAGGAGACAGGGAAAGTTAAACTCACCAGCAACATCAGTCTGACAGTGACAGAGCCAGGTGAGTGTGTAGAGCTCAGAGTGTCTCTTTGTCTCTCAGGTGAGTGTGTAGAGCTCAGAGTGTCTCTTTGTCTCTCAGGTGAGTGTGTAGAGCTCAGAGTGTCTCTTTGTCTCTCAGGTGAGTGTGTAGAGCTCAGAGTGTCTCTTTGTCTCTCAGGTGAGTGTGTAGAGCTCAGAGTGTCTCTTTGTCTCTCAGGTGAGTGTGTAGAGCTCAGAGTGTCTCTTTGTCTCTCAGGTGAGCGTGTAGAGCTCAGAGTGTCTCTTTGTCTCTCAGGTGAGCGTGTAGAGCTCAGAGTGTCTCTTTGTCTCTCAGGTGAGCGTGTAGAGCTCAGAGTGTCTCTTTGTCTCTCAGTTGAGCGTGTAGAGCTCAGAGTGTCTCTTTGTCTCTCAGGTGAGCGTGTAGAGCTCAGAGTGTCTCTTTGTCTCTCAGGTGAGCGTGTGGAGCTCAGAGTGTCTCTTTGTCTCTCAGGTGAGTGTGTAGAGCTCAGAGTGTCTCTTTGTCTCTCAGGTGAGCGTGTAGAGCTCAGAGTGTCTCTTTGTCTCTCAGGTGAAGCTGCTTCCTGGTAGTCGAGCTGAGAAACATCACAGATCAGATGTTTGTGTTTTAGAAAGATGTTGCTGATGAGACTTTAGAGGAAACAGCTGCTACGAGTCATGTGATCAAAGTGCAGTAGATAATGTCTGACATTCTGTTCACCTGCTGACAGCTGATACCTCACACCTGTTTCTGCTCTGCAGGTCACACAGCTGGACACAAGGAGGGAGGAGACAAGGAGGGAGGAAACAAGGAGAGAAATGTTGGACTGATGGTCGGTCTGCCAGTTGTTGCTGTGCTTCTTGCTGTTGTTGGAACGATGCTCTTTAAAAAACGCAGAGGAGAGACACCTCACACAGGAGGAGAGACACCTCACACAGGAGGAGAGACACCTCACACAGGAGGAGAGACAGACGCCCTAAACCCTCCAACATCAGGCTGACAGATCCAGGTGAGTGTGTCGAGCTCAGAGTGTCTCTTTGTCTCTCTGTACCACGAAGCAGGATTTGAGCTTATCCAGGTAACTTCGGGGTTTTCAGCACCATGACGATGGTTCACTTCTTACCGGGGTAGATCGCCATGGTAACTTATGCTGAACGGCTAACCTGCTCCGGAGCAGGTTATGTTCCAGATAAGAGATCAACTCTATAAACACTGTCCGCCTACTGACCAATCAGCTCTCTGGAAAATGACATCACCATCTGTAGGAAATCACACAGACTGATTTATTGGCTGCTTCATGTTTGCAGCGGTGAAACTTTTGTACAGCGAGATCATCCTACAGAGACTGAAGCACTAAAACCTTGTAGGTTTGTAAGATGTGACAGTGAGCTTACTCACCACTTTGAAATGCTTTTTATATATTTTACTTGATCCCAAGTCTGTTTCACACATCCTGTCACAGCCGTTAAAATAAATGGGTTTTCTTTTTATGTGAGGTTGAATATTCTGAGGATATAAATTAAAAGGCCTATTAAATTAAGTTAAGATGAGTTTATTTTAACATTATGTTTTATTTGTTTCTTATGTTACAGAGATCTTTTGTTATGTGGGAGAGTTTTCAGTAAATGTTGAGTTTCAGTCTTTTGCCACTATTAATAATAATAATAATATTAGCCTCTTTAACGGCAACACGCTCAGGGCTGGATCTGGAAACCCTGTGTTGAATTATCAGGTTAATAACCAGCATCATGTGACCATTTAGCCTGATCGTCGTGGTTGTCAGTGAAGACATCCTGGGCATGTTGAACTTCCTTCGTAGTAAAGGCTCCTGGTAGTTGAGCTGAGAAACATCACAGATCAGATGTTTGTGTTTTAGAAAGATGTTGCTGATGAGACTTTAGAGGAAACAGCTGCTACGAGTCATGTGATCAAAGTGCAGTAGATAATGTCTGACATTCTGTTCACCTGCTGACAGCTGATACCTCACACCTGTTTCTGCTCTGCAGGTCACACAGCTGGACACAAGAAGGGAGGAGACAAGGAGGGAGGAGACAAGGAGGGAAATGTTGGACTAAGAGTCGGTCGGCCAGTTGGTGTGATTCTTCTTCTTCTTTGTGGTGGTGTTTTTTTCATCTATAGAAAATATAGTTCATACCAACGGGCTGCTATGATTTAAGTTTACCCAACTGCAGAGTTGGCTGCAGTGTTTTTTCTGTTTGACTATAAGACCAGAGATGAGAATTAAAGTTATTCCATAAGAATGAAGAAGTGGGTACTGTACTGGAAACTTATGATAACCCATGTGACCTTTTGGACTCATCCTATTAAAACCTTACCTATCAAACTCAAGAAAGCTTTTGTGTGGAAGATCCCTAAGTCTTTGCTTCAGTTGTTTATTTGAGGAGAAGTCCCACCACAGTGCACTCAAGTATATACAGTACGTCTCTTGTTGACCCCATGCAGTGCCGGTCATCTCTCTAACTGTAGTAAAGACTGAATGCTTATGACACTAAATTCAATATAGCCAGGCCCAGAGTACATCATATACAGTGTTAAAAGTAAAGGGAGAATAATAATAATAATATCGTTAATAATATTGTTAATAATAATAATAATAATAATAATAATGAATACTAATAAAAAATGTATAATAGTTAATATTGTTTTGTTTTCTATGACATGAAAACAAAACAAAACTGGTGTGAATTTAAGATGTTTTGAAAATGTTTACACACACAAACATCTCAGTCGGCTGCTTCAGTGTTTTGATATGATGTGAATGACTGTAATTAGTATGATAAGACACTAATGGGTCTTGGCTGCTTTTACTTTGTCAAATTAGCTTCGGAGACCTTTGATTTAGAGAAAATTGAAGCTAATGTTTTACTGCTGAGCTATCCTGATAGGAGTTATTGATAAATCTTCAAAAAAGGTGTACAACTCCTAATAACTCCTGTCTTAGGATGGCAGTCACAGAATAGTTCACTATTCTGTCAGTGAGATGTTTCTATGCAGCTTTTTTTTAACTCAACAATGGGATAAAGTAGATCTGAAACAATAGAAAATTATTAAGACATTAAGCACCATGTCAGTGTTGGAGTCTGACAGGACAAACAAATTATTTAGAATACAGTTTTCCTCACGCAAATCATTAAAGACAATAATCTTTTACAGTGTAAGAACACAAGATATACACTAGATATCATGCAGCTGAACTCAAACTAAAGAGTAACATTGAGTTCTTGCTGAGCTGCTTTAGTGACATAAGTGTTGATGTGCGCTGACGTTGTGTTACTTGATTTTCTCAGAAATGTTTCCTGTAATAAAACCACACTTCCTGCTTCAAACTAAGATGGTGGGGCGGATGATGCAAAGTCTGCTCAAACACCACCGCAATTTAAAAAAACATCATTTATTTTCTCTGATTTCTCAGTGACACAGTTAGTCATCAAGTTTCAGTGACATTAATTATCATGGTTACATCTGTTCTGGATGCAGAAGCTGGTCCAGTTGTGCCTCTGTTGGGCTGAACACAGTTAAAACAGGGGGCTGCAGTGGTGGAGTGGAAAAGATTTAAATGGACTAAAACAAAGTAAACCAGGAAAAAGACTGTACACAAATTACAGTGCAGTCAGTGATGTGAACAAACAGTTCCACATTTTATGTAATAAAATGCAATCAGTTATCAGTCTTCAGGAAGCATAAATAAGTGTTTGTGTGTGTCTGCATGCTTCTTCCTGTCCCCAGCACCACAGCTTGTTGCTTTCTTGGCTCCTGGCACATTTGTGAAACTTTAAAAATTATTTGGTATATTCATTAAATTAAATTACTTTTACTTAATAAAAATCCTTTTTCTAATAATCCCTTAAATGTGGTTTCCTCTATTTGTTAAGGACTCTGAAACGGGCCATAAGAAGGTTTAGTTAGTTGGTTACTCTCAGGACAGTAAGCAGTCCTGATCCCAGACCAGCTGAGAGGTCTGTCCGCTGCAGAAGGGAGGAGCAGATTGGATGTAAACCATTCAGTGCTTTAAAAACCAACAGTAGTGTCTTAAAATCATTTCTTTGACCCTCAGGAAGCCAGTTTTAACAACTGACGCTGATCTCTCTCCTGGTCTTAGTGAGGACTCCAGCAGCAGCGCTCACAATCACACCAACAGATCACCAGCTTCAGCACAAATAGTGCGTGGGTATCTCCAGAGAGGCTTTATAGAGGAGACACGCCACTCAGTCACACCCTTAATATAACTCTATGGGGAAAGCACGTAACTTTAAAGATGGCTGTTATCCCGCCCTTCCCACTAAAAAGCCAATCGTCTGCTTTTAACAAACAAAGCGAGAAACATATTTCGGCCAATCGTGTGGTTCCACTGACATGAGGGTCTGTTTTACTTCTACTGCGCAAGCGTCGCTACTACCAGTATAGAAGTATAACCTTTCGGGAAACACATTTTTTAAACAAAAAGTCGTCCAAAAACTTTTTCAGGTATTTATATCAGATTTTACTGCTGATTCTATTCATGTAGTTTTTATGTCACGGTGACCTGTGAAAGTGAAAACATTCAGAGAAAAGCAGTGATCAAAGTTCAGTTTTTCATTATGATTATTTATTGAGAGCAATTCATGTTCAGAACTTTTAAACCTTTGGATGTAAACTGTGTTCACAAGAAACTCATTTGGCCTGCTTTCTGTGTGTCATTTGAAATAACGCAGAGATCCAAATCCTGAGGTTATCTGTATCTTCAGTAGTAAATCTTTAACCAGCAGCTGCATGTTGTTCAGTAACTCAGGACATGAGCAGGTTTTGGACAATATACCAGGGGCCTGTACCACGAAGTGAGTTCAACATTCCCAGGATATGTTTTTGTTCTCTGGCTAAACTAACCCTAACAATCGGGATCGGGATAAGCGGCACCACGGAGCTGGTTATCAACTTGGTAAGTCAACCCAGGGTTTCCAAATCCAGCCATGAACGCGTTCACATAAAAGAGGTGGTGTTAGCAGCAGATGACCAATCACAGACATGAACAAGTCCACTGGCAGCAGAGCGTCATATTTTACAAACTAAGAGCAAACTGTAATGTTAGATTGTGTTTCCTGTGCTGCCTGCTAACCACAGCCTGTAGCCAGCTGTCACGTGACAAATGAACGATTCAAACCCAGAGAACCACAGTTAACAGTCGTGAACTAATCAATACTTTCCTGTGCTGACGGAGCCCATGCAGCTGCTGTGACGACTGAACGTAAGAGTCCAAGACCATTCACGCATGCCTGAAAATGAACGAATTACTCACTGAGACAACCCGTTCCTCCTGAGTCACATACAAGATCAGGTCAAATGAACGAAACGTTCTTTGAACGTCACAAAACTAATCCAGCCGTCCTCCAGTCTGTTTCTGGCTAATGAGACCTCTGCTGTGTAGCATCAGAACCAAATGTCCTGAGTTGAGACAATATCACACCAATCAAGAACCAAGTCCTCTCTGCTTTGGTTTCATTCTCAAAGAATAAATGTTCAGAAGAACTCCTTTTTAACACAAAACTGAATTCTGAAACATTAAAACAGAGCCTGAATCCCACTGTGAGGATGTTTGGATTCATAAAGCCTACAGGCTAAACCTAAATCACCACATGAATACAAAATGATAATAATCTGAACAGTTTCTCCAGTTTGTTTGTGAAGCCTATCTGATGTTATGCTGCCACCTTGTGGACAAAGTTTAATAGGACTTTCATTGATTTATGATTTTATGTATATATTTATTACTCCAGAAACCATTTGACATCAGTGTGCAACAACATACTGAAGATCAGCTGTTGAAACCAGCTGTAGGGAAGAAGTGTCAGCAGCAGATTTAACTAACACTTCAGGAAGATCAGTTCTGTGGTCAGACTGTGGCAGACCGCACAACGACACCTCCAGTAACTTTTGTGGCCAAGATGATAAGACAATAGAACGAAAAAAAAACAAATAACAGCTAAATCTTAATGGGGGAACACCAGAGGGTAAAAGTAGAAATTCTGGGTTGGATCAGACACAATTTTTTGTGCCTGTCTGATAACCGACTTCTGATAGATTGTCTGACCCCCATAATCTTCATAGCTGTCTGTACCTGACGAGCGATCTGGGATGTGGACTGTACTGTCAGGTTACCTTACCTCTCTGTAATACATTCTCTAACAACAGCATCCATTTTTGTATTTCTAAGTCTACATAAAAAATGTATCCTCGTTTGAAGTCTGGAGCAGAGACGATCAACGTGGGCCTTCCAGTTGAGTGCTGGATTATAGACCAATGGGATCAGTGCCCTGGGGCCTCATGCGGTGTATGGCCCAAGGCTTCCTTAGGATGTTGAATGCCAGGGCCCTCAGTGTTCACAGCGCATGCTAAGTAAGGGCCCCCTTAGTGGCAGGCTGACTGGCACACCTGAATAACATCATGCCTGTCTGCTTCCCTGAAGCCACGTGGTCTGAAACGGTCTCTCTGCACCACTGCCTGCCTGCCACACCAAACTCACTGTACTGACCAGCCGCACAGAGGATGTCCTGCTCAATCCATTCAACAGTTGGCATTGTTCATCAAACTGTTTGAACTAGTGAGCTTTCCATCCCATTGGTTCACTCATGAGCCGAAGCGTCACGGTGCTTAATTTGCTCTACTGTGCCATCAAGTGGACAGTAAATGTAAAACAGGCAGAGTGATTGTTATGGCACCATGGCTTTGGTGTGTAAGGCTTTGAATTGAATAAATTATGTTTGTAATTGTGTGATTAATTAGTATATCTTCAATATATAAATGATGAACTTATTAATATGGTGTCTACAATGGCAGGGTCAAAAGGGAATGTGGAAACAATTTAAAATAACTTTTCCACAGTACTTCAGGTGGTTGGTTTTTCTTGATTGATTCTGCCTGCTTTAGAAAATTAATATCGGGTAAGACGTCACCACCCCTACCAATTTGTGTGTTCAATTTCAAGTTCAAAAGTCCAAAAAATGTGAAGTAGGGTCAATTGCATTTTGAATGCAATTCAAATGCATTCCTGAATAAGTTATTTGGTTTCAAACATCACCACATACGACACCAACACAAGCCTCAATATGTGCTTCACAAAAAGCATTCTGAATTTCTTGATACAACCCTACGTTCATACGGAAGGACACATTACTAGTTTGAACTCACTGGCTGTCTCTAGTCTGCTTCTGGGTTCAGTATGTCAATTTAGAAAAGAAAAATACCAGTTGAGCCAAGGTGTTTACTGACTAGATGTGAAATGCTGTTAATGGCATCATCTTTGCCACCCCCCCCCCCCCCCCCTTACAAGCAAAATGAAAGTGATCTAAAACATA